AAATATTAGACTTTAGACATGTTCGAAATATGTTATTTTAAACACGCTAGCTGCTTCTGATAGTGTAATGTTCTTAGAAACAATTCATTCTTTTTCTTTTGTAATCTAAATTACATGCAAGCAAACTCATATCTTAGGAAATTATAGTTTCAAAAAATCCATTATAATACCAATTCCCTCCATAATTATTGTACAATTTAGAAAACGATAAAAAATTTGATTATTTTCTAACATTTTGTGAAGCGTTCACAAGAAGTTCACATTCATAAATAACTCATCAATTTAATAGAAAATAAATTAAGAAGAAAAATAGAAAAATGCAAAAATAGAAAAAAAAAAACAAATATAAATTTACTGTTGTCTTCACAATATTACAAAAAAACAAAATTGTGTAAGAAAAAAAAAACCTAAATGAAAATGGACAAGCTGACGTTCACTAATATCCTATGCTATACAAAAGATTGCTATTAAACTCTATAACTCCATCAATACCAATATTTCCTAGTTAAAATTTTTCTATTTATGAAATCCTCAATTAGATTTAGTTTCTTATTATGATATTTTCATCTTATTTATTTTTCAATAACGTCCACCTTATTCAATAAAATCAATCATTTTAGCTTATATCCCTTCAATTGATTATTTTATATATGTACCTTCATATTTTAATAGAAATCGTTTATATATAGAATTCGTGCACATATATACATATATGCATACATATATGCATATGGGGAAATATAGAAAATATCCATTAAAAATTGTTAAATTGGAAATTATTGGAACACATTTTTATATTCATAAAAATACGTACATAATGTACATAATTAGACAGCCCTTTTCATGGTTCTCTTTTTCACTATGGTAACATTGATCTATGGTATTTCAAAAAATGATATAGCCAAAAAATTCAGTAATAATGTACGCAAATGAACTAACATATCATTGCTAAGCGTAAAGATTTAGTAAAACTTTGTATCTAATCATGTCCACTATGAAATATGAGGTTGGAAATTTTTTAAAAAATGCACAAAAAAATTACACTCGATTCATTTCCATATTTATAGCAAAACAGTTTTTATTACTAGGTGTTAAAAAATTTCAAACATCACTGTAAATGCTTTCTTATTTTATTACACAATAGAAAATAATAGATTTCTTGAAAATATTATTTTAATTTAGAAATATAATCCAACCAATACTTTTTCCCAACAATTCATCTTATGCTTATACATACAACATAAAATAAACGAAGTGTAAATAATGAAAAATATAAGATAATAAAATATAGCAGGTTAATTTTGACAGCTATAACATTTCAATTACAAAATACAATACGCATACACACATATTATATACAGATGCAATTGTACATTCATATAGTTCAAATTTGATTTGATTAAAATTCAAATTATGAAATCATTTATCGCATTATTGAACTAACATTAAGGGACAAAATTAAAATTAAAGTGAATTTTTTCTTTGATAACAGTAAGTTGTTAATTGTGATCCTTTGAGTTGCCGTTAAAATCAAATATATCTATCAGGCGGGCCATCAAACTGAAATTGTGTATTTATTTACAAAACCAATACTTAATGACATACATATATCATAACTTTCATATGTGAAAATTTCTGAAGTCTGATATATAAAATTAAATAACTGTGAGCCAACATTTCAAATATTATAAGAACAAATGCTAAAATTTTGTGACGGAAATTACTGAAATAACTAAATATCAAAAATAATTTTCCATTCAAATCTACAGGACAAAAGACAATATTTTCAACAGGTTTAATAAAAGACAATGTTTTCGACTTAAGTGTCTAACTTTCGTTAACTTTGCATTGAATAAAGTTTGTAGAAAGATTTCCGTGCAATTCTAAGAAAAAAAAATTTACAATTTATAATTACTTTAATTTGAACATAATTCAATTTACTTACTGGAAGAAATAAAATCCCGCAACAAGCCAATGTGCTCTTAAGGTGCAACAACTTGCCGCTATTAAATAGACAACACAGTAAGAATATTGAAACAACTTTACATTGTGCATTTACTCTATTTTCCTTACTCTAAGAATTTTTTACATATTATTTACATTATCATCGATAATTCAATCAAATAAATAGAAACATTCTATATCACACATTATTTTCGAAATTATTACATTATAAAATACACAAAAAAAAGAAAGAAAATTATCATAAAATTTACAATTTTACATTTTTCCATGTTAAATGAATCATTCATAAAAAAAACAAACAAGCAAATTAAATGTAAATATCCCGTTTTAATCTATTCGCAAACATTAAAATTTGAAATTCAAACACATAAGGATTCTTATGTAAATGCATGCATGTACATATAAAAGTTTTCGTCACTAACATACTAAACTTTTTTTTTTTTAGATCTATGGTAATAATTAATAATTTGAAATTCAAAAAAAATCTAACAAAAATCATTCCCTTTATCAGCCCGCATTGCAAAAACTATTTCCATTACTAAACAAAGCAACAATACTAGTTGCGAAAAAAATTCAAAAAAAAAATATTTAAGCAAATTCCTCAATTTCAAATGGAAAAGAAAATAAAATATGAGATCAATAGTAATTCTAGAAAAGAAAAAAAATTATGATCAAATTTCCCGACAAACACAATTTCTTAAATGCTTTTAAAAAATAAATTTTTATGAAGCTTGCATGCATCGTATATTAAGTATTCAATTCCACATTTAGTTCAATTTAAATTTGTAATTAAAACTTAAAAATGCTATTGATTAAACCCATGTATAAAAGAAAGTCGCATGACAAACCTAAAAAGGAAAAGCGATATTATATTTATAAAGGCTTAAAATTTGAATCCCAAAACATTTTTTTTTATAAGAAGACGACTAGTCTAACATCATTGCCTTTATAAAAGTTTAATAAAACTCAAAGAGCCAAAGAAGTAGAAAAATTTAACGTACTTATCATATTCTAAACATGTCGTCGAACCACATAACTTCAAGGAGAAAGATAAAAATTTTATCCGGAAGAAATAATTTCTTCATTGGATTCTATCTACCTAAAACAATTCAAAATTTTAGTAAAAAATTCTAGTTAGTTATTTTGGAACTAATCTTTAATCAACATTAATTTATACACATACGATATACTTAAATTGTTATATACTTATATAGTTAAACATATATTTGAACATGAATATTTTAAAAATATGGGAAACCATATGGTGTCATATCGGTCCTCAGTAAAATATTTTTACATAATCCAGTTTTAAATTCAAAAATATAAAATATATTTTACCACACACACAAAAAAAATCAAAATAAAAAAAACTCAAAAATAAAACGAAAAAATAAATTTAAAAGTGTATGATGGTCACTTTACCCAATTGGTGGACTCTGGTTTTAGTAACAACTGTTTTTTGTTTAAATAAAATTAAAACAAGAAAAGAGGAAAAACATGGAACAGAAAAAAAAATTTATACAAAATTTCAATAAAGCATATTTTTTTTCGTTTTCTTTTTCATAAATTATACACATGGTAAAAATCTTTTTTAGGTGAGTAAATATTAAAAACTATTATATAAATATAAAAAATAGTTCATTGTTTTATTGGGGACCTAATTTAAATTTAGTCCAAGTTTTTATGCAACAAAAAAAAAAAAAAACAGAGAATGCATGCACATCTACAAAATAATTGTTTATCCATATCAAGAGTACCCCAGCATAATAAATATTCCTTCCATATTATTCGAAAATATAGTTCAATATGTGGAATGATTCATTTATGTAATCATCTCCTAAATAAAATCAAGCGTATCAGGAATAATTTTGGTAAATAACTCATGGTTATTAGATGTCATTATGTATCTTTTAATCGAACATTTTTTGTAAAGATTGTAAACAAACACAAATATGAATGTACACTACATATAAAAGAGTACCTCAAAAAATTTATTATGAAGATAAAGATTTCATGTTTCAATATGGAACAGATGGATATAAAAAACGATGAATAATATTATCATATCAAAAAATAAGAGACCTTAACAAGAAAATCGTTTTGTTTAATGTATAACTTGTTATTTAGCAAAATGGTAACGATATACTTTATCTATCAAAATTCTACTTCAACATCCGCCGTTTTAATCGGAATCCAATGCACTTTCTTTTTAATAATACTTTAATGCAAGGGCACGTTTACCTAACAAACACAAAAAAAAATCAAAGGCACTAGCACGAAAAATTTTAGAATACTTAGAATTGTTAGTAAAACTAGTTTGCCCGTATTCCATTATTTCCGAAATCCTTTTTCTCTGAAATTATAGATATAATTTCAGAGAAAAGGTAATTAAAATAAAATTGTTTAAGTTATTAAGGGTGTTGAAATAAAATGCAATCCGAAAATCATTACACTTTATGAAAAATTTGGAAAATTGGCTCAAACATTGAAGATAATTGTTAATCTCAACAAGAACTTCTGGTTTTTGTATTCCGATCACCGATAAAGTTTGGATTTTTATTCAGTAGCTTCTCAATGAATTTATTTCCCAAATTTCCCCCCAATTTGTTACCCAAAAAAACTTGACTGACTCGAAAATATGTTCGAACTAAAGTTGTATATCTTAATAAATGAGTGATGCAACTAATTTTTGAACAGTAAAAGATTATTGCTTTCCGATTTAATTTTCGAGCTAAAAAATGAAACATATTTCCAAAATTTTACAACAATCCTATCATTAGTATCAACCTCTTTAATATTTTTACATTATTATCGTCTTTAGTTTTAACTTATTATCTTCATCATCTTTAGTTTTAAAATTTCTACGATTTGAACATATTGATTTCTGTATTTTAGATAATAACAAAAATTCTTTAAAGATTAATATAATATAAATTAACATACCCTAAAAGGTTTTCAGTATTTAATTTAAAAAAAAATATTCAATATATAGTTCGACAAATTAGTAATACAATTTTTTGTGTTTTATTACTTACCGTCTATGACATTCTTCGCATTCAAATGGTTTTTCTTCAGTATGTGTTAACATGTGTTCATCTAAATTGGCCTTCTGTACAAAACCTCTTCCACAAAGAGCACATACATAATCTTTCAAACCTTCAAAATTCAATTCGACAATAAATAAAATTAAAATTATAATCAAAAAATACATCTTCTTACCAACATGAATTTTATTATGTGCTTTCCAATTTGCTTTGGTTGCAAATATTTTATCACAATAATCACAAGGAAATTTATATTTTTGGTCACTTGGTATATGACCTTTGACATGAACAACTAAAGCCGTTTTGTTTTTGAAAGCTTTGGCACAAATAGAACAGTAAGTTAAATCATTTTCACTTTTCTTTACGTTACCAAAATGAATTTCTTGTACATGACCTGTAGATCTATGTTCAGCAAGAATGTTTGCGGTATCAAAAAATTCTGAACAAAGATCGCAACAAAGTTGTAATTGTATTCGATGTCTTAATTTTACGTGATTAATAAAAGTATAATATTTATCAAATGTTTTATGGCAGTCAATGCAAACATATCTTACTGACTGAGTTTGATGCTCTGAGTAAATATGAAGACGAAGATTATCTACATTTTCAGATATAAAATCTTGGCAATAAACACATTTCCAAATGTAATCATTCCAAGAACCTAAAGTTTCCAAATCTGATTCATTCAAACTTTCCATAATCATAGATCTTGACAGTGATGTTGACAACATTGAAGTAGAATTTGAATTATCTGTATTGTCCATGTTGCTGCTATTTTCCATTTCATCATTTCGATACTACAAAGAGATATTTGCAAATTACATATTTTTTATAAATGTTACTAATTGAATATGAATCTAAAAACTTATTTAAATGTTTGTTATATATTTACTTCTTTATTCAATTGATTCTCTATTTGATCAATTGTTTGATCTACAAACTTATTAGTCTCCGTCTCATGAACATTTTCATCAACGTTAATTTCTGTAGGTAGATTATGGAGCTGTAATTCGGCTATATCTTGATTTTCTTGATCCTCTTCTTGTATCTCAACAAATCTCGTATCGGTTCGACTTACATTTGTTGTAACAATTGAACCAGTCGCTATAGCAAAATCACTTTCATCTAAATCATCAAATGTTAATTGTTCAGCTATTTCTATTTTAAGGCCATTCTCTGAATCATTATCGGAAACATTTTGTCCTATTTCATTAGATATCCGATTATCAGCAATTATAGTAATGTTGTTCAAAAGCCTTTCAACTTCCATATTTTGGGTATGATTTATATTGTCGCTACTGCTTGTTATGTTATTTTCCGAATGTGCATTGCTCTTAAGGGATTGATTTTGAACGTAATATTTCTCAGTAGTATCATTTGCTGTTGTGCTATCATCTATATAAAATATTTTGGACAAAGATTCTTGCGATTCGTGAACTTTTTGGAAAAACTTCCAGCAATCATTCAAATTAAGTACGCATTCATTGCAGACATTTTGTGGTAGCACATCATTTGATCTTGGAACGATAAGTTGACAACATTTCTCTAATTTCATACAGATATCAAGTGAAGTATCGTGTAAGTTTACAAAAGACTGAAACCGAATTATAAAGACTTATTCGCATTTTAATAAAAATTAACAATTTTACCTCAATTTTCCTCAATGTTGCACACAATCGGCATATTGATGCCATATTTTCTTCTAATCTTTTTAAAAATATATTATATTTAAATCTTTTAAATGTAACGAATCTTATGTTTAGCTTGAGAGATATATTTTTTACCGTTATTTGACCAAAATTTTATCCTTTACATTTAAGAAGTAAACTTTTTGCGAAACTTTTCAATTTTTCAACTTTTTGGGTGGTACTGTACATGTACAACTGTCATCGGTATAAAACATATGGAATATAAAAAATGACAGTGATATTATATGTGCAACAGTCAACAATGTTGAATTAATTCGGAGTTCAGAAATTCACAATAACACTTTATCTAAAATCTCTTAACTTTAAATATTCACAATTAAAAAATTTATAAATATTTAAATATTGGTTTGGGAACAAGATGGAAAACTTTATTTAGTGTTCACCGTTATTGAATGTATAAGTATGTTTCTGTAAAAATTATATACCTACATACAATAAAAATTTGAAACAAAAGTAAAAATCAAAATTAAAAACAAAGTTTTTGAAATTACATCAAAATATTTACAATGTAAAATTTGACTTTAATATTTATATTTTATTTAACTTCCTGATTATGTTACCGAAATTTTCAATGTTATACAATAATATCTATTCAACAAAATCTAGATGGAATAAAAAAACAAAGGCATCATAGAAAGCATTATTCAAATAAAGTAATATTGAACTGCTATACATTTTAAAATTATGACATTAACAGCAAATAATCACAATATCCAATAATATCGTAAAATGCGCACAACTATGGAATCATAGAATTACATACTACTTAAGTTCCACATTTGACATTTTAATATCGTTTCAGAAAAGTAGACATAATTTATTCATGCATATAAAATTACATTTTCCTAAAAGTAAAATTAGTTTAAATATTACTGTCATGTCAACTGATATGATATTTTCTTTTTTTCTTTTGTGTAGTTTAATGTTGAAAGGTCCTTTTAAACAATTTTCATAAAATACACAAATATATAAATATGAATGCATTATATTATTGTAAAATGTGCTATAATTGTGTTGTACATATCTCTCTATACAAATACAAGTTTATTTTTATTTTGACGTAACGTGAAACCGTAAAATTAAAAATAAAAAATACATAATGCATAAGCAGAATATTTAAATAGATACATATCGTTTGTTCATTCAATAATTTTTCTTTCTCATGTTTATAGTATTGTATCGTAAATCGTAAATTCGTAATAGTATTAAGAGTATGTTTTGTATAGTACATGCGTTAATATTGACAAAACATAAATTATTTGAATGAATAAAAGAATACACAACATATAATAGTAATGATTTGTTGGATAGAAAGAGATAGAAAGAACGAAATGATAAATAAAAGAAAATGAAAATAATCGGTGATGCCATACTGTCTTTAATTTTTCTTAAGCTCTAATTTATTCTTAATAGAAAAATTCATACGAAAAACGAAAAGCAATTCTGAGATGTCAGTTTTTTTTTGCTAAAACTAAATTTTTGATTAAATAGTAAAACGCTTTTTTTTTCTGACAAAATCATTTTTTTTTTTGGCAGATCAAATTCACGATTTGTTTAATGAAAACTTTCAAGTTTTTTTAAAGCATTGAAAACGAAATACTGATCAGAAATATTGGAAAAAATTATTTTCGCGTCTTGCACAAACAACATAATTGTACACCATTAAATTAAAACGAAAACTAACAATTTGAAATGCTTCATAACATTTTATCATTCAACTTAAGCCTTCTAAGGTTAATTCTTTTTGATATTCGTATAAAATGTAAATCGAAATCTTTGAAAAGTTAGAAGCTCTTTTCCTTTATATGAACTGAAAATTGCAACGTTTCTTACAAATTTCTAAGTAAACAACATTTTTTATACATTTTGACGTACATATTTTTTCCCGTGTTGACATATTGTTTTTATGAAATAGTACAACAAACGCTAAACCAAAATTCTAATTTAACGTACTAGTCATGAGATCGTGTTAAATTTTAACTTAGTAAATTGGCTGTGCTTTCTTCACAAAGAATCTTTATTTAACTTTCTGACAAGTTGTATTGATTTTAACATAAATAATTTGAAGTTGTCAAACATAACAAGAAAACTAGTCTCGAGGCTTATGTATTATTTATTAAAGTTTACCTGATTTATTTTTTATTTTTTGTCTTGCGAAGAAATCTATTTATATGTTATTTTATACAATATTTCATTAATTCATTTTCGATAAATATAATAAAGATGTCGCTTGGTTTATAAATCAAAACAAAATACAAACAAATTTGTCGTGAACAGCTGACAATTGTTTGTCCCAAGTGTTGACGATAAGTTTTTATTTTTCTTTTCTTTAATTGCTTATGTGTGGGTGTCATATCAATATTATTTTTCATTTTATTTTTTTTTTTACTAGATTCCACAAATTTACTCACACATTTGTAAATATAATTAGATTTTACGATTTTTACTACTACAAACTCTACCACATGTTTTTTCTATATACACACAATACATACTACGATATTAAATGTCAAAATTAAAAAAGGAACATAAAAAAAAATTCTCCTCTTTTGAAAAAAATTTCCATGTTCAATAAATATAAGAGAAAAGAAAAAAAATTTAATTTTTCTTCAGTGTGTAATTTAAATTCTATTATTAAAAATATATTATTGAAATATTAAATTAATAAATAATTTAAATGTTAATAATATAATGTAATTAAATTGTGATAAACTTAATAAATTTAAAAACAATATCGAAAACTAAAAAGCAAAAAAAAAAAATACAAAAATTTTACAAGAGCACCTTATAAAACAGAAGTGTTTTTGGATGATTACAAAAAGAAAAGAAAAGAAAAATATTTTTTATAACCTATTCCAAAAAGAACAACGTAAAACAATAAATTCTTCAAGAATAAAAATATTTTCTAATTAAATTATAGGGGCTGAATATTTAATTTTACATAATTAGCATAAAACTGTAAAAGTTTTGAGAATTTCGTGCAGGCAACACGAGCTAAAAAACCTTGGTTTGTATTAATTTTTTAGTGTAAATTTGTAAAAAAAAAATTAATAATTAAATCTTAATTAAAATTCAATATTCCATTTAAACAGGTGCTTAAATTACGACATGAATAAATTGGTAGGAAAATATTTCAAAAATAATTTCATAAGAAAAGAAAATTTCCTATACTAAATAAGAAATGTTTATGTTTAATATTTTTCATAACATGTTCAATGGTAAATTATGAATTTTTTTTTTTCTATCTTTCAATACTCTAAATTGGTAGTTTTTTTTGGAAATTAGTATGGGATTTTAAATTTCAAATATGTATACATGAAATATATGAACATTAAAAACTTCTTACAAACAAAAAAAATTTTATTAAATACCTAGGTAGTGAGTGAGTGGGTAGTTTTTCTAGACAAGTTTCCTATATGTAGTAAAAAAAAAAAAAATTTAAGAAAATTTTGTAGTATGAGCTAGACACCGGCATTTTGTACGGTATTGAAAAAATTTCTACGATATTAATGTAGTATGTACTACTACCTAGGTTCCTACCTATATCTATTATAAATTTCTATTTCGAATTGATTAAAATAATGTGAGATTTTTGTAATTTTCATAATATGTAAAAATTTCTTTTACAAGATAACTAATTAAAGTAGGTATATAATTTAATGTTGATAATATTTTAATATGTTCACATTCAGATATACACACACATACACACGGTGCATACTTCTCTGCATGGCTGTTTCTTTGTAGTTAAAAATAACAATGCAATTTAATAAAACAAAACAAAAAATACGTAATGATTTAAAATTAAGATTGCCATATCTAATAAAATAAAAAAATTTGTAATATGTATTCGTATATTTCACAATCTTGCATTTTTAAAAATCAAATTCGTATTATTAAATTTCGTCATTAAAAATTTGAATAAGTCTACTAACTTTAAGTTTTTAAGAATTTAGAATTTTTTACGTAGCAGTTCGGAAATTTATTAATTTTAACATATTTAGTTATTAATTTTAAGTAGCAAATTATTTTAGTTAATCAAGTAATAAATAATTTTTCATAATTTAATGTAGTTAATTAAACAAATTTATTCATCAATTATGTATTTATATACTTACTGGAGGTGTCTGTTTAAGTGTACAACAAAATCTAAGTTAGTGTTTATATTGATATGTGACAAAATATAATTTCAAATCTGAGTCTGATGAAAGTTGTATAAGTACCTGCATAATATTACTGTCAGATTTTTCTAATTACTCTACTTTTTGTGGACGGAAATTAATTATTTGTGAGAGTTTTCAACAGGAATCAGCTGATTTTTGTTTCAGTAATAATTTTTGTAACAAATTATTAAATTTTGACGTAAAATTTGAGCTGCATTACATAATTTCAGTCTGATATGTAAACATTTACCTATAATACGGTCTCATTGATTTAATCTTTCATTTTGTCGTATCAATTAGTTGTCCAATTGGTTTTATATCAGAATATCATATTTAAAATGAACTCCACTTTAAGTTTTCTTTTAAACTATTTGGAATCATTAAAATGAAATGTGAATTAATTTATGATTCCAAAATGTGCTAATTATTGACATTCTTTTAATCTTAAATGAGTTGAATTATCTTTTTATTTATTCGTTACATATTTGTAATAGTGACTGTTTAGATTTTTGCACAACTCCTTATTATATTGTGTCTATTTTAGCGCTTTCATACTTTTGAAGAAAATCTATAAATAATTAAAATCAGGTAATTTCACACTATTCTTAGAAAAGTAGAAGAGTTGGTAATCCCAGAAATAAATACGAAGAGTATTTCTTTAATAGTATAAAATTATTCTGAATAAAAATTATGCTAAATCAGCAAAAGTTTCCTATTTCAGCATAATAAAAACATAACTGGTATATAGCAATATATGTATATGTATGTACATATTCTGTTCAATTCAATTTCTATAAATAAAAAAAAGTCATATTTATGTACATACGTATATATAAATAAATTAGAAAAATATGTATATAAATATATATATATGTATACACGGATAAATTATTCCAGATATGCTTATAATAATTTTGAAGGTTAAATTCAAAATATGCTCAAAAAATATTTTTAACACCAGCATATATATACATATTCATACCTACATGTATACTTACAAATCAATAATCAATAAATTTTAAAAATTTCAGTTAAATTTCATTCAATGTTTTTTTTCCTTATCAGTCGATTTGATTTTATTTTTTATGATTAATTCAGTACGAATTTATAAATACGCATACTTACATACCTATGTATATAATATAACAATTGCATAGATACACACATGTACAAGTAATAAGCAATTCTTATTTATTACAGTATAAAACTGTTATACTCGTATCTTTTATAGCATAACTAAACATAAGCATAGTTTTTTGAATGCGGCTAGAAAATTAACGAATAAGAACTAAGACTTTCGATTTTTGAAGATTCAAAGTGGCTATCGAATTTTGCTTGTAAGATATTATAACAGAAAATTGGAAAATACTTAAAGAAATAAATGATGTGCGATGAGTATGTGATGTTAAAAAATAGGGGACGTTTTCAGAGTTCACCTTTAAGTATAAGTATTTCAATATTAAAACAAAAGTAAAAAATATTTTCAACTCCCTTTAGTTATTTTCTTTGGGTCTGGTGAGACCAATAGTTCTTACACTAAAAATTTATGTTTTTTTTTTTGTTTTTAACCCAGCTATATTTGTACACAGAATGAGTGCTGATTTATTCAATATTAAAAATGGGGATGCCAAATATTCGTTAAGTGGATATAAATTATTTAGGAACTCAATTATTTTGATCTAATTAATCACCTAATTTCCCCCATGACATAAGAGTAAATTACATAATTTGCAATTTACTTGTATCACATTCACAAAATTAATTGTCGCGATCAATTATGGCTTGAAAGTTTCGGCTTAAATAGAATTCAAATATTTTCTACCGTTTTGTAAAAAAAATTTTTTCAATTTTGTATAAAAATGTAATCGTAGTATACAAGAATTAATTTCATGCTTTATAATTACTTACTGAAATTCTACTATTTTCTATTAAAATCTTTTCGAATGACGTCAAAATACGGACTCCGCAATTCTATGTGTCTGAAGAATAACAAAAGGAAATTTAATAAGATTGAAAATTTAAAAGCTCTAAATATGATAACTTAAATACCTTCATTATAAATTTTTTAAATTAAAGAGTTGTGTACAAAATATATATAAACATGTGTGTATGTATTTCAAAAGTTTCATATTTAGCTTCCATTTACAGTCTTTATCCATAATATTTGCAGAATAGTAGCGTGTAGTATTTTAAAATTTTTAATTTTTATCATTATTTTGTTGTCTCTTATATTCCTTCAAGTAATAGTGTGCAGTGCTCACTCGAGTAACACTGCTCAGTTGCTTGTAAACATTATATTTATATCTTATACTTGATATTTTAATTTTTTTTTTGTTATTTACTAAAATTGGTAAGCAATCATTAAAAAATTTAGTGAAATTCATAAAAATTTATAAAAATTTGCTATAACTTTGAAGTGAAACCGAATTTATTATAAAATAAGTCAATAAAAACAAAAAACACACAAGCCCAAGTTGAATTTTACCGAAACCAAATGTGGTTGTGGTAACAGTCGTTTAATTATATATATACATAATATTTATGTACTATAATTTCGCATTCAAGTTATGTGACGGCAATAATACAATTTTTTCCATATAAAAATATTCTTTTATAAACAGGCAGAAAACTGTTAATGTTTTAAATAGTTCTAAGGAAATTAAAATGTTTATAGCAGCTAATAAGTTTAAACATCTTTTTCAAAATTCTGGAATGCATTTCTGTTTTAGCATTTTTATTGTTAAATCATAAATTGCTAAGATTAGTTGTCAAGATAATTTTATTTTAAATAAAAAGATCATGATAAAATGTGCAAAGAATTTGATTACATATTGGTTAAATAGCTGCTTTAGCACCAATGAAAGAAGTAATAAGTATTTTATCTTTATCATCAATCACTTGTAGAATCTAATAGTTTCTAAAATTTTTCGTTGTTGCCACTATACTCTTTAATTATAATTCTAATATTTGTAATTAATTTAAGTATCCGTTTCATACAAGTAAATTTTAAAGCAATTTAATATTAATAACAAAGTAACATCTTATATTCAATATTATATATCAAATTATAACAAAGTAATTCAATGTTCTTGCAGGTTCTTCTACTTCTGAAACGAAACATAATTATAAAAGATTACAAAACGTAGATGATGTAAAAACTAAAGAAGATCTATGTAACAAAATTACTTTAAATATTTTTTGAAAAAGTGTAATGAAATAATACTTTTTTTTTTATGATTAAGGTAAATCTTGTAAATCACCATCTAATTTTTCTGAGTATTGTGGGAAAACTATGCTAGTCGCTGACTCTGGTCATCATACAAAACCAACAAATTATCCAATAGCAATTCATTCAAGAAAATGTTCCTCGTCAAGTATAATATCGCTGTCGCCTTCACAATCATCAATATTATCAGTGAAAAAATCAAGTGCAATATCATTGAATAATTCTTTAAAAAAGCTACCACCAATTTCTTCCTTCTTTAATAAAAATTTATTGCAAAAAGACTCTCTATTAGAATCGAAAGCAATAAATACGACTGTATCATCATCATTATTGTCAGCAACGAAATCTATAACTGATCCTAAAAATGAAGATAAAAATTCATCATTACAGAAAGTGGTGACAAATAATTCAACTACATTAATAATTCCTTCATTTCGAAGTCAGCATCATGAAGAATTTGCTGGTGAATGTTCTACATCTTCTAACAATAAACAAAAATCAACTGAGATATTACGGCGATTAACACAAACAAATACTATACCTCCAACAATATCTCACCGTATTCCAAATAGTGACTCAACATCTAATGACAGTTTGAATTTGGAAATGTGCTATTTTAAGCCAATAAAACCGGTGCCAATAACTCCAAAAAAGTAAAGAAAAAAGTCTAAGAATTGTTATCAATATTTTTAAATGATTTTAATTAATTTTTATACATATAATATGTTATATAATTATATTTCATATTTTATTTTATTATTTGAAATAGGGGAAATCTTGTCATAAAAAGGCCATTACCAAAACGTATTAAACCCAAACGAAGAAAATGTGATGTATTTATAGGTCCAAAAAAAGGGTATATAATAATTATGTTTTTATTACATTTTGTGTTTTTTAAAAAATCAAAAATTTTATAATAAATTGTATATTATTTTAGGCAAATGCCCATTCTGTTCTCAACTCTAACGGCATTTAAAAGATGTTCTGCATTTTACTCAAATAATGAAACAACTGCACTTCAATCGTCAAGTGTAATTCCAGAACTAGATCTGTATCCTTTGGTTGAGAATACAAACAATAGCAAAAACAAAATTAAAGACAAGCAAACAAATAATTTAAACCAAAAAGCCACTAAAGAATATAAGAACGCATTTTATTTAAAAAAATGTCAGGTTGTTGTTAAACGTGAATTTGGAATTTGTTTTAAAAGTAAATTAAAAGCGAAATCTAAAAATCGGTTAACTAAAATAACTAAAAGAAAAGGTAATTTAAAAAACTTTAAAACAAATGTTCATGGTTTTAGAGGTTTCAAATCAGATTTGGATAAAACACACGCAGATACGATTAACAATGAAGAAGTTTTTAATCTTAGAAATAATAAGCGCTTTAAAGGAAATAAAAATTTGTCTAACAAAATTGATGAAGCTATCGTAGTTAATGAAGAAGAAATTACAAACACTAGAAGAAAACTAAGATCTAGAGATACTAGCGTTACAAAAAGTAACTACAGACTAAGCACTGATAACTTTGAATCACAAAATTCTAGTAAAAGTGAAATTAAATTTACACCTAAAGGGAATAAAACAAAAGCTGCGAAAAAAGGAAATATTATTAAAACTTCAAAGAAAAATTTAATTCCAAATGAATCTGAATATTTCAGTGATATTGATGTTTCAGAAAAAAATAAACCAAAGTCAACAAGAGCTTCAAGATCAAAAAAAGTTAACTCTCAAACAAATTCGAAATTGAATTCTTTACGTTTTAAAAGAATAAATAGTTTAGCTCTGGATAAAATTGTTGATTGTTTTAATGTTCAAAATAAAAACTTGGATGAAACTGGTTTGGAAGAAAATAATTTGGGATGTTTTAAAGAATCAACTAAAGTTCTTAGAGCAAAAAGAAAATGTAATGAGAATGCTATAACAGAGGCCAATTCAAGTATTTCGAATGAAAATAAAAGCAAACGTGGTGGTAAAAACGAAGATACCTTAGAAGAAAACAAATTGGAAAGTGATATTAATATTACTAAAAAATTTAAAATTGAGGCAAGTAATGAAACAAACTTACAACGAACTACACGATCTAAAGAAAAAGATGAATTATTAAAATCTGATTATGAATTTGCACTTAAACTTCAAATGGAATTCGAAGCAGAAATTTTTCCAATTGAACCGGTAGCAAATCGTACAAGAAATACAATTAGCAGAATGAATTTAACATGTAATGAAAGTGATAATTCATCATCAATACCGGAAATGACTTCAAAACAAATTAATTCGAATTATAATGACAGAGATAATCAACAAAGTTTACAAACAAAATCTAATTATGCGAGCACTAGTATTAATAGAAATTCAAATGATTTAAATCTTGAAAAAATGGAAAATAATTATAAAATTGATGATAAAGCAAATGTAAATTTAAAAAGAAATTTGAAACTTAGTAAGACTGGTAAAAGAAATTTGAAGGAAAGCAAATCAAAATCTGCAAAAAGATTTTTCGTTCCTTTGAAAGGTTAAGTTATCGTAAAATTGATATAATATGATAATGACATAAATTATTGTATAATTTATTATAATTATCCTTTATTTTTTGTTTAAGTTTGGTTATTTTAACACAAAATATGAATTTTATAGATTTTGTTTTTATTATAATTTTCTATTAATATTAAATTATTATTTGTAGTTCGAAAATAGTTTTTACTTTGTATTTTTTATGTACAAATTTCAATAAGTAGACACGTATATATATTTTACTAATAATTTAAATTAAGTGGATAGTCGTATTTTTTTTAGGCTGAATAAAAATTATATTGTATGAATAATGAAATTTTGGACAATTTTAGAAATTAAAATTGTAATTAAGAATATTATATAATTAGAGTGATTAAAATATTATAATGAAAAGGATTAATGTTTTTTAGTAATACCCAATTTTTAACCGAGAAACAAGATTTTTGAGTTGTTTCAATGTTAAAAATTTCCCATTCTATTTTTTTAATTTAATTTGGCCTCATATTTTTTTTATATTATATTGACTTAAATATATTTATATCGTTATTATTGAGGAATTTTTAACATTCGAAAAATATAAGTAAAATGGTGCAATATTATTTTTACGGCTAATTTGATTAATTTAAACTTAAAGGAAATTCAAATAACTAAAATCTCTAAAATGTTATTAAGTTTTTGCTGTAATGTAAAATATCTGGGATTGTTTTAATTAGATAATATATTTTTATTTTTTTTTTCAATTACTTCAAAGTTTTCTGTTTATAAGAACTGGTCAAAAACCTCTCTCATTATTATTAAATGTTCAAAATTGATTACACAAATATTCGTTCCGTGCTCTTCTCAATTCAATTTAATTTATATTCAAATGATTATATACTAGTATATAAAAATATAATCTGCAATCTAAAATAATCTAATAATATAATTTTACAATATGAATAATACAATCTGCATTCTAGATGTATTACAATATAATTTTTAATTGCAAAACAAAATCACTTTAACATTTAAAACGCTAAAGAATATTTAAGTGAATTATTTCTAATCCCACCATTTCCAATGAAAATATATAAATGAAGGATTTATTTGAGAATAAAACAAAAGATAATATGTCCTTATATTAAATTAGACATACATACTTACAAATAGTTAACATTCTAAGGTGATATAAATTTGAAAAAATTCATTCAACAATTTATTTCATTTGAAATTTTTTTTCTAAATTAACAAAATTTATTCAATTTTGTTTAATACAAGAATGTTACACGCGTTTTTTAAGGCATGAAAACAATATCAAATATTTAATTTTAGAAATTCCAATAGAAATTTTCGAACCGATTGTATTCACAATAATGTTAAACAAACCTTTGAAAATTAAGAAATTTATAAAAAATTCATTTAAAAATTATTAAATAATAGTATTGTAATTAATACTTAATTATTATTAAGTGAAAGACAATTAGAAAATCGTAATTATTTTAAATGTGACATAAATTTGATTGATCATTAATAAAAAAATTGAAATTGTTTAATAATTTTGAAATTAGTACAAGCTTGAGTTGAACTAATATTAACTACTGAATAAATTAAATTTCTAGAACAGCATTTTTAGAAACATTAAATATGACAATGCTGCGAATTTTACTTATTACTGATATTATTAAAAATATGTAAGCACTATTATATTATATATAATAATATATTATGCGTACATATAATAATCGTCATTATGTTTTAGCTATCAATGGATCAAACAAGAAAATTTTAAATTGGCGATGTATAACTAAAAGTATAGATGATATAAGAAGTAAATACTTTCGAGATTATTATTATTGTTTTGATGTTTCGAAATTTATATTGGCAGCTCATATTAATAAATTACCATACTTGTTCGAAAAAAAATTATGGTGATGTTATTTGGGAAGCAAAATGAATAAATTGTACTGCAAACTCAATATTTTCAAAAAAAAAAAACTCGATAAATATTGTTAAATTCGAATCATTTATATCAGTTGTAATTAGACTTCTTTAGTTTTCAGCTTGATACATAAAAATTTATGTAGTTTACAATATTTTTAAATTACAAATTTTTTTTTAAATTAATTTTAGTTCACCTTAAGTTTGTAATAGAATTTTTAATATCCGTTGTGAATAAATTTGTGATATTGATATTTTTAGAATAATTTAAAATGAAAAATATGTCGTAACATTATTCTAGAAATTTTGTAGAGTTAAGAATTATGAAAGTTTTTAGAAATTATTTTCTTAACGCATTGTTTTTAAAAGTTTTTAATCTTATTTAATTACAGAACAATATAGAATTATTAAATTTTGTTTTTAATAGTATAAATTTGTAAAATTCGAGAAATTTATAAATACAATTTATTTTCAATTTTGATCTAACATAATATTTTCATTTTAAGTATGTACAGAATCTATAAGAAATTTATAAAAGAGTATGTAAAATAAATCTGTACACTACTGAATATTTTAATTAAGCAAATAGTTTTCCATTTTTTTATTAATTTTATAATAATTGTATCTATCTAAAAAAAACAATTTTATTAAAGTGTTTTATAGTTATGCGTTAAGAAAAGATTTTGAATTTTTAGTTTTCAATTCTTGTAAAAGTGATTTGAAACTAAAGTTTCATAATTGTGATGCTCACTAATCTTGAAAATTGAAATTAAAATATACCATATACCTGTAAGATATGTAAATGTCATTTTAAATAGTAAAAACAAAAAAAATATTAAAAAATAAAATATAAATTACCAAAATTTGAAATTATAACAAAATTTTCATGTATTTACATACAAACATACATAAATACAAGCTGATAAATGAATTATAATTGTATTTTGATGAAAAATATTAGTGGACACTATAAATAACTTTCACTTATATAAAAAATTTAAAATTAATTAAAATTAATTGAATAATTTTATATTATTATTATAAGCATATTAAAATATGTTTTAAATTACATAAAAAAAGTTTTTGTTTTTTAAAATTTAAATTATAGTTTTTTATAATTCTGTAAAACAAAAACAAATAAGAGAAATTCTAATATAAAAAACTTTTTAATTTTATACATTATCACATTGAGTTCGATTTTATCAGCAAGTAACTAAGTAATGGTTAAATCAATTAAATAAATCAATAAATACTTAACTACTGGCAAAGAAGACAAAATTTAAAGTCGAGATAGCTAGTTCCTTTAATTTAAATTAAGGGATTACGCCTTTATGAAAAGTTTGATTTAACGTAAATATTTTCTTGTGTTCACCGATAAGCACGGTCATATATTTTAGAATTGTTTACTGTAGATGGATCAACTCAATGTGTTATATTATTTCATATAAATTTTTTGTTCATTATACTAATATTTTTTATCAAAATTCAATACTTTAAATCAAGTGATAAAACCATCTAAATTTAAAAAATATTTTATGTATTTTATTATATAATTATACAAAATTTTAAAATATCTTTAAAAGATTAGTAATATATCTATACAAAAAATTTAAAAACGGATAAGTAATATTAAATACAATGAATTGAAAATTTAATGAATTTTTGTTTTAACTGTATGTAGTAATCCAACAATCAAAGAATAAGTAGATATTTCATAGAATAAAAATATAATTAAGAAATATGAATTTTGTGAATTATAAATGAAAAAAATAATATACCGGAATAAAAAATATCGGTATCTAAAGTATATTATGTAGTTTCTAAATGTATTTATTGCTAAATACTCGAATTTTTTTGGTATTATACATAAAGTCTCTCTATGTATTCAAAAGAAAGAAAAAAATTCAAAGGCTTTTGCAACTATATTCAAAAATATTGCAAAATAAAATTTTAAATTTTGTATTTCTCAATAATATTGATCTAAATTTATTTATTTTCATATTAACTTTTTTTATTCGAAAAAGAAAACTAATTTTCTGTTTCAAAAAAAAAATATTTATGAATATTTTTATCAATTCCATCTCATTCAAAATTAAATCATAAAAAAAAACACCTGATCTCGGTAAATATTTGAATTTACAAATGAATTTTTTGGAATAGAAATAAAAAATTTTATTAATTATAAAACTATTATTATTTTTTAATATAATTTTCATTTACATACATATTATGGAAATTGTTACATAATTTCGTTAATGCTGAATTTAAATTAAATTGTTATAATATATAAAATATAAAAAAAATATTTTTCTTTTAATAAAATAAATTACTAAAGTGTATACAAAATAATTTTGAATGGTATCTATTTTAATAAATAATATACTAAGAAGGCTACCTTCAAAATTCAGTCCTTTGAAAACAATTAGAATTAAGAAAAAATTCTATAAATTTATGTTATGTGATTGTAACAAAAGTAATATTATTTTTTATTTTAATTCATAAGATTTTTCACTTTTTTTTTTGTATGAAATAGAGGAAATTATTCAAAGTAATAACTAAAATAATCCTTCACAATCCTTTTATGTACTAATATACATACTTCCGATATAATTTTAGATTTAAATATAAATTCTACTTGAAATGTTATTTAAAAAATTAACTTTCTTCTATTATTAAAATTTTAAGTAACTAAGTATCTTTAAAAAAAAAATTTTACTATACAAATTTAAGTTTTTAAAAAAAATGATGATCCTAACTCCTTATAAATGCAAAACTAATTTAAAAGTAAAACAAAATAAAAAATTGAAAAAAAATAAAAAAAAATATATATGAAATTTCAATTTGATTGTAATATAACCAGATATAACATAAATGTTTTTCTTTAAATTACAAGTAGTGTAGAATTTAAATTGACTGATTAGATATTTGAGAGAAAAAAAAAGATAAAATTAAATATTTAAAAAAAAAAATATAATATTAAATTAAAATTTTTGACAAAAACAAAACAGCAAATTATCTACGGTAAAAAAAAAAATGGAGAAAAATAAAAACCTAAAAAATTTAATATAAAAATTTAATTTAATATTTATGGATAAATATATATTATATTTAAATGTTAGTAGAAAAAATTTCTGAATGTTGTATTTATTCTTATAGAGCAGCTTTAATTCATACATTTGCTACCATTTGAAAATCTTACAAGAAACAAAATAAAAGCAGAATATATAACAAACAATTAAGAATAAATTCAACAATTCAAAAACAAGCAACAATGATAACAAACAATTAATGTGACTTCATACAACAATAGATTTTAAAATTCAAGTGAAGCTTAAATTAAGCTTAAAAAAATTAATATTACATAAAATATTCCACTATTTCATATAATTTGCATTATAATTGAAGTATAATTATAATCTGATTAAATAATGTTAAATTTTCAATTGGAATTCCAAAATTGTATAGCTCGTGCATACTCGTACATAAATAATTTTTA